GCCCCGACTGGTCGCTGCTGTCTCTCTTTTTTTTTTCTCTCCGTGTCCTCGCAGCTTTGGCCGCTCGTCGCATACGCAACAACTCTCTTGCCAGCAGCTCCTTTCTTCGTTATTCAAGCTGATTTTTACGTGCCTTACCACTGCTCTGCGTCGTCTTCGACGCGCAACTCTTTTCAGCCCAAGCTGCTCCGTGCCTCATCGTGTCGTGGAGCCATGGACTTTGGTATACGCTTTTCATGTGCCTGCCTTTGACGATTCTTTGGATCACGTTGTGGGCTCCTATTGTGCAAAGAAACCACTGAGATCATGAAACAAGAGAGATTCGTCTTCTTTGAGTAGAAAAAAAATAATAATAAAATAAAATAAAAGTAAGTAAAAGGAAAACAGTTTATTCTGCCCAGGAATGAGACTTTCAAGACGCTCGATCGTCGATATTAGCTTGGGCTGAATTTACGGAGTAGCTCCAGTAGCGAGTGATTCGAAAATATAGAGCAGCTGAATAAATTTGAACAACTTGCAGAGCTCTATTTTTTAAAAGAGGATTACAATAACCCACACGTGTCCACACGTATTGCGTATAAGAAATGTGATGAACGAAAAATAATCTTTTTTTTTTTTTTTAACACATGAAATTGGATAAAAAAATTGACGTATAATTCGTTTTATTCAGGTAGTTGGGAAATCAAGGAAGAGAAAATAATTAGAAATTTGCTAAGAATAGCTGGTCCTTTCTATTAAAAAGTCATTATTTTTGCTGTTGTATACTTTCATCTCGTTTATTAATTAAAATTCAGTAGTAATTTAGTTTCTGCCATTCTAACAAAACGTTACCACTTGCCACTTTTATTTTCGTTCTCCGCTCACTTTAACGTTAATAATTATAATAATAATAATAATAATGATAATAATAATAATTAATATTTATTATAATAATAATTTACAGTGAAAGAAGCCAGATTTTTATACAGAGGCTGTTTTTTCATTACGTTTTTTTTTTCTTTTTTTTTTTTCATCAAACGTGTATGCAAATAAATTTCATCGGCTTTGTTTTGTGCATGGCGCGTACTGATTGCTTTATTCTATTGTTTCGTTTATTCGCTTGGTTCTTCATCATTTTTATATTTCGTTTGATAACAATGTATAATCGCATATCGATAATAGCAGTGAGATTTCGCAATGACAAATTTTGCATTATGCTTGTTACAACGAAGGGGAATAACCAGCAACGACAAAATTGGCTCGGATGGGCTTGAGGTCTGCTTTATGTGAGAAGGAAAACAAATATTTCAAGTATTTAAAGTTAAAAAAAGAGTTGTTTATGATAAAATGTATCTTTCACATTACGTGAGTCGATGATGAGCTCATGTTATTATTATTATTATTATTATTATTATTATTATTATCATGATTATTATTATTATTTGTTGAATCAACACAGATAACAAAAGTAAAATTGCCAGACCAAAGTGATGTGGTAGTAAGTAAAAGGAAATAAATAAATGACTTGACAAACACCCTTATCCGTGACAATTTGAGGCTCGTCGTTGCCAAAAATACATGTATTTGATGTATCGTAAGTAAGTAACTCTCATAGTCGCAAAATAATCACACATTTCACTCTAGAGGACTGGAAAAAATTCGCTATCACTCACTGTTACAATATATTCACTTGTATTTTCCATTTGTCAATCGCCAACTCGTTTCGTACAATTTCCGCTTGACTTTCTTTCAAGACGCGCGTATACTTTATTTTAATGCCATCTCTCGCAACTCCGCGTTAAACTCTTCGCAACAATCACACATCATCTCTTGTTTTTATCACGATTTCTCGCTGCTCGGCGCTAGCTGACTGGCCACTGTACTTGATTCGCGATTTTCGCTCGCTGGCGTTTTAAAAAATTTTTTTTCCTCCATTTTTAATCAACAAAAACCAAATCCAACTTTTAATAATTATAATAAGAATAACTATAGTATCCACAGTAATAATAATAAAAATAATAATTATGCACAATAATAAAAATAATCATAATAATAAACATAATAATAATATTAATAGTTATTATAAGAAAAGTAATGATAATAAAAATAAAAATAATAATGAACGAACGAACGACCAACTGATCGGTGTTTTTGAAACGCGCTTTACTGTCTCCCTGTTCCCCGACTTACATGGACTTTAGTCTCTTAAATGCGCTTTTATACACAATTGTACATTTTTTTCATTTTATTTTTTTACTTTTTATGTGCCCGAGTATTTCTTTCTCTTTTTTGCTCTGATCAATCAGCCTCTCCGTAACGAGAATCATAAAAAATATTATACATACACACGAACGAAAACATCACAATGCGAAACGGTCGACACGACAGTCGATAGTGAGCACAGGTAAAGTCGCGCGACATCCCCGTGTACCGTTGAAGGGACGTCGGGGACTTTAAGGGACTCTGTAGCGTTAATCTTTGAGATAATGGACGACGAGAGGACACTGACTAAAAGGCCGCTGAGAGAATTAGCAAGTGTCCACCGTCGACTCCCGAGATCAGCGGAAGCTCGATTGAGTCGCACAGTTATTCTAAAGGGCCCAAGTCACCGCGTGACAAATTTTATTCGAAATTAAAGTTTTTGATCTCTTTACTAAAGGCATGCGCACCACAAACATGTGGTACTTGACGCTTGATGATTTTTCAATTTGTATTTATTCCTTAATAGTAAAAAACAAAGCCAAAGATCAATCGTACAGGCAATTTACAGAGCAGGAGTCGGGCCGGTCAGAACAGGACGATCAAGTGAAGTCTTGGAAAGTGAGCGCATCTTTTGGTCATCCGAGCGATTTGTGCATTATCGAGCGCATCGCAAACAAGATTATCACGAATTTTCACTGGGGCGACGACGTAAGCTTTGACAAATTAAAAAAAAAAAAATCAAAAAATGTTTGTTCTGAGGTTGCGAGATCAAATTGATCAGAGACAACGAAAATTGTTTTTGCAACGTCGACGGGAGTCGTCTCGCACTTCTCAGCCTTCTGTTCAAACATTACTTTTTCCTCCCCCTTTTTCTCGAGTCCTTCGCGCACTACGACGATACTAACTATTGTTTTCTCTTCCAATGGTTCTAGTATGTACAAAAATCAGGAGAACACAATCGTATTACTAATATTACACAAATACAACGTACATGGAATGTGCGCAGCCAGATAATCCGCAGTTTTAAGTAACCGAGCACTTTGAACTTGGACGCTCTCCTCTACGGTTCGTTGTCAGCTTTTTTTTTCCTCTTATTTTTTCTTCTACGTAACGTTCCTATCAATGTACATACTTCCAGACGCAGGAATTTCAGCACAAAAGATTTATAATAACAAACAATAAATGGGCATTATCACGATCGCGGCCATTCTGCGCTAGATTTTGAGCAAGCGAGCGAATACAATAATGTCTATCGGAAAATGGAAAAAGAAAAAAAAAAAAAAAAAAAAACAACTGTAATCATCACGATTGCAATCATATCGATAGAGCTGACAATAGTTGTAGTAATGATAAAAATTGTAGTAAGTAATCAAGAGCGGTGTAAAGGTTGGGGTGGCACCCAATAATGATTATCGGCACGCGGGCCTCGAAAACCACAAAGACACTTGCAACGACGACGAGGACAATTTATTTCATCATTATCATCGTGGTCGTCACAAATGATGTATAGGGCTTGTGATCGTTCGTACGTATGATTTATATATAAACTCTGTCGTGACACTTTACGTTTACACTCGTAAGTATGTACTTATTTTTATTTATACAGAAGGGGTCGATTCTTTGCGTTCCACAGCCTTGCATAAAAGACCGTGGCTGTGAAAAATAAGGAAAGAGGGCTTACGTAAGAGGGAGACACTGCAGGAGAGCCGATCGCTTTCTTGCCGAGTTTTGCTTCTTTTTACGTTCTATGTCTATAAGTATACATACACATATACATACGTAGGTACATCGGGTTTCTCTCGCATGGCCCGTACACTGTGTGCATTTACATTGTACCCATACATATATACGTGTGTATATATCACCGCCCCTGTACGCTCTCGCCTCACGTGAACGTTGCGCTCGCTCTTGACTTGGCTTATGTATATATATATATATA